GTAAATAGAATGCTTAAAGACAAGAAGCCTGGACCATTAATTAGAGTAACTATGTATGAGGTAAAGGAAATGTCCAACCAGTCCGTAGATCATTGAACCTTGGATAGAGCTCATTTTAGGTTCTGATGTCCCAAATAATGCTTCAGTCCATCAAGACAAGTGAAAAGCTGGTGGGGAGGTGCAATAATTTAGTCAGCAGATATTTACTGGCCAACTGCTATCTGACAAGCGCTGTTCTAAATGCAGGAAATATAGTGATATAGGGTCTCGTGAGCTTTTATTCCATTAAGGAGAGAGATAAGAAATGAATAAGCAAGTAAATAAGTTAATTTGGCAACTGATAGATTCTCCTGAAAAGGATTTAAAAAAAAAAAGGAAGATACTAAAGAGTGACTTGGGGACAACTGCTGAGTTCAGAATTCAGTAGCCTGACTTAGGGGGAAAAGAAAAGACAGCCATGGAAGAGGATTCCAAACAAGAAAAACAGATGATTCAGGATCTTGAGATCAAACAAGTGTGTCGTAGTCTCCAGGGAGAAAAATAAGGCCAGTGTAGATTGCAGTATATTGAAAAGGGGGGAAAATTGAAAACGCTGGTGTGAAAGGATTAGGCAAAAACTGGAAGCATCTTGTAGACTATGATAAGGAGTTTGGACTTCTTGTTGAAGTGGAAAACCATCTGAGAATTTTAGGGACAGGAGTGACATCCTTTGATTTCTGTTTAGAAAAATTATCCTTGATACTAGGTAGGGTAAGGCGGACAAAGGCGGGACAGTGAAAGCTGTTTAGGAGCCCACTACATTCATCACGGAGGAGAGGATGTTGGTATATATTAATAGACAAGTGATGTAGAAGTAGTGACGGTGTGACACAATCCGAGCATGAACATTTTGTAGGCAAACCTACAGAATTTATGAGCAAAATTAATGTGAACTTGGGCATAGAATAGAGTAATACCAAGATTTGTAGTCTGGGAAACCAGGTACATGGTAACTGCTTGTTTGCTGAGTGGTAAGCAAAAATTAACCTTTTTTTAGCTAATTAGTTTAAAATTATCATCCAAATGTGTACACACACACACACACATCTCTCTCTCTCTCTCTCTCTCTCTCTCTCTCATTCTCTCTCTCTCTCTATACACACACACACACACACACACACACACACACACCAAGAGAATATATGCATTCAAATGCGAAGTTCAGGCATATATGTTTATGTGAGATAAGTATGTCTGTATACATCACATACATACAGCTCTCTGTACACACATATCGATGTGTGTGTGTTTTATGTGTGTGTGTGTATATATATATATGTATATATATGCACATATGTGTGTGTATTGTATTTAAGGCCATGGGTTGTGTACATTGCCTAAGAAAAAAGTATACATAGAAAGGAGAAGAGAAATGACCACAGGCAGAACCTCGAAACACTGCACACTGACCACTGGAGATCTGAAGAAGTAGGTAGCAGCCTTCAAGGAGAATAAAAAAATGACAGGTCAGGTGATCAATTTTGATCCTAGTGTGTCTTATTTCAACCCAGTGGGACCCTAAACCTGTCCCGTCATTTTCACAGTCTGAACACACAGAGTTAAAATAGATAACGTTGACAGCAGGCAGAATCCGTGCACATTGGCTCCCTGCCCTGTGGAGGGAGAAGTGACTGCCCCTGAATAGCGCCCACAGTACCAAAGGAATAGCACAAAGACATGACATCACTGGACAGCCGAACACTTCACAGGTATGCTGCTTGTTATAAAATCTTAGTTTTATATTCCACTATGGCACGTGAATGAGTCTAAGAGTATCATAGTGTACTCTTGTGTTGACATTAATTTTAGTTGCTATTTCAGATGTGCTTTTTAACTCTTTTTTTTTTGGAAAGGTTTTTCACTACAGGGTGCATATGCTCGCCAGACAGACAGAGAGAGACAGCGAGACAGAAAGCGAGAAATCACTCCCCCCAGGGGGGATGGCCATGCCACAATCCCTTCTCCTCCATTCTCCTCTCAGGATCTAGGGCACGCACGCACACGTGCCCGGCGTGAGTTTTAAGCCACCGCGTCTGGGACGCGAACCGTGGTCGACTATGTGGGAGTCCAACAACATAGCCATTGCACTAACTGCTGGTCCCTCAGATGTACTTTTTAAAAGAAAATTAGTGCATCCCGGGCACCTAGTATACAGTCCAAGGGGGTCTTCCAAAAGTTCATAGAAAATGCATATTATGAAAGAATTATGCGTTGACTTCTATTTTGAGCACCAAAATAAACTTGTACTTTAATTTTACTTTTCCATGAACTTTTGGAACTTTCCTTATATTAAAGAGTGATTTCCCTTAGTCTCATTAAACATAGAACACAGAATGTATTTGGTTTTTGTCTGGAAGGGATTATAATACGTCTTCACAAATTTGCTCAAGTTGTCACTTGAACTCTAACTGTGGGTCACAACATGGGCCAGAAAGGACAGTCTTCTCCCCATCTGGGTAGTATCATGTTGATCTATTTATAATACCTTGTTGCTGTGAAAAATAGCAGATGAAGATGCATCAATAAGACAAACAAACCAGAAGCTCTAAGATAACTCCTGTGAAAACGTAGGGCACAATCACCTTGATGAATCATGGGGATGAATGAGATTAGGTGCTTCTGACAAAGCAGTGTCCCCTGTGCTTCACATCACTAGGAAAGGGCCTCTTCAGGTTTGAGAGGCAGCATTTACAATACGTCTGTGTACCACTCCAACTCATTTACAAGGCAGATTGAAAGAATGGGGTGAAAACTAGAACAATACGAGAGACAAACAGTTTAATTATTTGATGTCCGTCTGACTCAGCAGAAGTGTGCTTTTTTAAGTATCTTGGAAAATAGGAATACTACATGAAATGCTGGCAACTCTGAATGGGAAAGCCCTAGACTTGTAGAGCAAAACTATACCTTCTTTAGCAAAATTGTATTCTCTTTCTCTCTTTCTCTTTTATTTTTATTTATTTTTTGTTAGAGAGAGATTTTTATCATAGGGAGAGAGCACTTGCCAGAGAGACAGAAAGAGAGAAATTACCCCTCCCCCCTGAGGAGATGGCCATGCCACAATCCCTTCTCCTCCATTCACCTCTCAGGATTTTGGGCATGCACACACATGTACCTGGTGTGAATTTTAAGGTGGGACTTGAGTTGCAGTCGACTACATGGGGGAGTCCAGCGACATGACCATTATACCATCTGCTGGTTCCTAAATTTTATTCTCCTTTTAAGAAATGGGTTTAGGGAACCAGCAGTTAGCGTAATGGCTATGTCGCTGGACTCCCACATAGTCGACCGTGGTTCACATCCCGGACCGGGTGGCTTAAAACTCACGCTGGGCACGTGTGCGTGTGTGCCCAAGATCCCGAGAGAAGAATGGAGGAGAAGGGATTGCGGCATGACCATCCCCTCTGGGGCTGATTTCTTGCTTTCTGTCTCTATATCTCTGTCTGTCTGTCTGGCGAGCACACGCGCCCTATAATGAAAACCTCTCAAAAAAAAAATAAATAAATGGGTTTGGAGGCTGGCCCTGCAGTGCAGCTGTTAAGCCCTTTGCATAAGGAGATGGATCCCACGTGGTTGACCGTTCTTTGAATCCTGGCCCTAGTGGCATGAAAGTGCCTGAAGGCTCAAGGTCCTGACAAAATGGAGAAATGGAGGAAAAAAGATTGCTGTACAACCATGGTCTGTTGGGAGCTGTAGTCTCTCTCTCTCTCTCTGGCAGCACATGCACCCTCTGGCAATAAACCAATAGTAATAAAAAGATAAAGAAAAGGAAGAAAGAACTTTTGCACACTGGGCACTGTTATCGATGAAATGACAGCACAAAACCCAGGTGACCAGGTAATCCACATTGCCCATCATGGAGTAGGGATTACCTGATCCCCTTACAATAAAATTTGGCAGGGCCAGCTTGCTGTCATCATGTGAAAGTAGGGTGTGTGAGACAGGGACTGAGCAGGTTGCAAAAACACAAGTCGATTCCATGAGCATGTGGCCCGCATTTTCAGTGCAACTATTTCTGCTTCACTGCCACTTCCTCTTTAATCTGCCTTGTGACCTCATAGGAGCACCCTATGAGAAGATGGCTACAGAGGAGCAATTTTTAAACCTGGTTTACAGATGGCTCTGCTTAGCACGAGTGTGTTGTTCCCACTGGAAATGGACCGCTGTGTTATTACAGCTGCATTTATCGCAGGTGGTCCTGAGGGGAGTGGAAAACGGACATCGTTCCAGCACTAATAACTTTAAGTAGAATATATCATTACTACATGGTCAGGAAGCAGAGAGAGCCTGAGATAACAACCCGTACCAACTTACCGCGATGGTTAAGGGTGTGATTCTATAGTTGGATACTTGGAAGGAAAAATCCTGGAGGACAAGTGACAGCGAGATTTGGAGGGAAGCGTGTGGAGGGACTGACAGAAATGGGGCCAGAATGACATCACAAATGTTCACCAGAAGGATTCCATGGCTGCGGCAGGTCTCAGATCCGAGATTGTTGAGGTGAGCATCCTGGTGGAGATGAGTCAGCCTCGCCAACCAGCTGTTTCAGGACTCTGTCATGAGATTATGAACTTGGGGACACTACAGCAGAGATGGAGGCAGAGTGGGGTTTGACAGCATGCATTTTCAGTCAGAAAAGTTTATTTGGGTACTGCAGCATTCTTTAGAGCCTAGTGAGACTTGGTGAGTGGCCTGGGGACCCTGATATGATATTCTTTCTCTGGGGGTTGACAGCCTTCCATCTTGGACAGGAAGAACCCTCCTAGCCTACCACACAAGGTTGCTTGTGACCTGGGAAATGATGTACACACACACACTCTCTCACACATGCCCACACTCTCTCTCTCTCTCATACACACACACGCACACTCTCACACTCACACACAAACATACACTCTCTCTCTCTCTCTCCCACACACACACACACACGCATAGTTCTGTCACATATCCTCACTACCCAGAGGCACCTGGCTTTATAGAATGACTGAATGACCAGTTAGCTCAAAGGTCATCTCCTAAGAAATACTTTCTCTAACTACCCAAGGAACTCTATTCTATTGTTCTGTTTTCTATTTGTCCCATCACATATTTCTCTTCAAATGTTGTTTTAATCTGTTCCTTTTAAAAAATCAACTTCCCTCATTAGAATGTGAACTAGGTAAGGCTGAACCATACCAGTCTTTCAGTTTTGTTTTGTTTCAGTTTGGAGAAGGGGGAGAGAGAGAAGGGGGAAGTGAGAAAGCACCTCCCTCAAGGGGTATGGTCATGTCACAATTCTTTCTCCACTTCTTCATCCTTCTGGGATTTGGGGCACACACACACACATGCCCAGCATGTTTCTCCAGCCATGTGGACTTAGGCTTCCTTAATCACATGCCATGCACAGAGTCAGCTGCCACACCAGTCGTATTCATCATTACATTTGTAGCACCTAGAACAGTTCTAGGAGCTAAGTTAATGTCTCATAAATTTTGAAAAAAGAGTGAATTCATAAATTATTAATTAGAATGGATAGTTAGAACTCAATACATGTTTTCTTCATCTTTGGAAACTTAAGGCTTAAACTACTTAGGATAAGGATGCATCCTCTTTTTTTTTTTTTTGAGAGGTTTTTCACTATAGGGTATGTGCGCTCGCCAGACAGACAGAGAGAGACAGAGAGACCGAAAGCGAGAAATCACCCCCCAGAGGGGATGGCCATGCCGCAATCCCTTCTCCTCCATTCTCCTCTCGGGATCTTGGGCACGCACGCACATGTGCCCAGCATGGGATTTAAGCCACTGGGTCCAGGACGTGAACTGCGGTCGACTACGTGGGAGGCCAGGGCCATAGCCATTACGCTAACTGCTGGTTCCCTGCATCCTCTTTTTTTTTTTTTTGAGAGGTTTTTCACTATAGGGTATGTGCGCTCGCCAGACAGACAGAGAGAGACAGAGAGACCGAAAGCGAGAAATCACCCCCCAGAGGGGATGGCCATGCCGCAATCCCTTCTCCTCCATTCTCCTCTCGGGATCTTGGGCACGCACGCACATGTGCCCAGCATGGGATTTAAGCCACTGGGTCCAGGACGTGAACTGCGGTCGACTACGTGGGAGGCCAGGGCCATAGCCATTACGCTAACTGCTGGTTCCCTGCATCCTCTTTTTTTTTTTTTTGAGAGGTTTTTCACTATAGGGTATGTGCGCTCGCCAGACAGACAGAGAGAGACAGAGAGACCGAAAGCGAGAAATCACCCCCCAGAGGGGATGGCCATGCCGCAATCCCTTCTCCTCCATTCTCCTCTCGGGATCTTGGGCACGCACGCACATGTGCCCAGCATGGGATTTAAGCCACTGGGTCCAGGACGTGAACTGCGGTCGACTACGTGGGAGGCCAGGGCCATAGCCATTACGCTAACTGCTGGTTCCCTGCATCCTCTTTTTTGATAGGCTGGTATGGTCAGGAAATTTACAATCCTAGAATTTTTTTTTCCTTTTTCTGAAAGAGAGCACATGTGAATGCATGGAAAGAGAGAAAGCAAGAGAGAAAGAGAGAGAAGCACCTTCAGTAGGGTCTCATCACACTGTGATCCCCTTTCCTGGGCCCTCCAGGTCCTAGGATGTCCGTTGCCCATGTGCACGCCCAGCTTTTTTCAGTTCAACTCAGGGATCTGAACTTGTCGCTGGCCATGTTGCTTCCAGCGTGCAATGTAATGTACTTCGGACTGTGCTATGTAGGCTGGGCCCAATCCTAAAAATGTTAATACCTGGGACAAATTTAAGAATAAACCAAGTCGGTATTCATCCTCTCAGAGCCCATTACTTGCAAAATACTGGATTATATATTACAGAACATATTAAGCGGTATAAAATGAATGGAGTGGGGGTGGTCCATACTCAAGGAATTTATAAATTGAACAGAGAAAACACAAAGGAAATAATGAGTGATGGACAAACCTAAGATACCTGAGGACCTGTGTGTGCAAAGAGGAAGTACCGTTTACTCAGCTGGGGTGGAGAAAACATAAAGATTTTAGGAGAGAGGCAATATATACGCTAGGACTTAAAAGATAAGTTGGATTATGACAAGCAAACCTAGAGAAAAAGAGAGAGGTAAAAGCAAGGTATTACATTGAAGTGTGTGTTTGGGAACTGAGAGAGATCTGTTGGAGGTTTTGGCCAGGTTATTTAAGCCTTTGGATATCAACTCAAATACTTGATTTTTACTGTGTAGCCAACAAGAAGACATCAAAAGTTTGTGAGAAGAGTCAGCACCATCTAATCTATGTATTCGGCTGCGTGGTGAGGGTTAGATAGCAAGAGAAGGGGTTGGAAACAAGTAAACCAGTTAGGAGATTGACAGGGCAGGACGGAAATGAAGCACATAGACTTCAGATAGTCATATTTTAGAAAAGATGGCGTGAGGGGATGCATGGCATTGTGGGGCATATATCATGTTGGGTAAAATCTTTTTGCAATCTAAATGATGTGTAACAATTGGATGTATACATAATAATAATAAATCAAATATAGAAAAGATGGAGTGAGGGGATATACAGTATTGTGATAGATTGAGGGAAAGCATGGTAAAATAACTTCTGTAGGCTAGTTTGGGTGGCTTGGAGCATGGAAGTAATGTGAAGTGAGAACACAGAAGAAAAGCCGGCGTCTTGTGGGAGAGAAACTCAGTTTCACTATGTCGAGTTTGAGGATCAATTGCGCATCCATCTTTGTTTGTCATGCACGTGAAAATTTGGGATGAAAGTTCAGAATAAGCCCTGTCTTGTGATTTAATTTTGAAGTGATATTTAAATACTGTAATGACAGTAAACAGAGGAGAATGCCAACACTTAATAATAGACAGGAAATGAGAAAGTAGACAAGGAAAATGAGCAGACTTGTCCTAACCAAAATGGCGAAGAAGGAAAATGTGCTAGTGATGATCTCGCCTTTGACTTTCTTTTTCCCTGGGCCTTCCTTATTTCTTCCTCATCAAGCCTTAGCTTTCCTCTGGAGAGTGAAGAAGCTCAACATACCACCTTGAACTCCCGACTTTGTTTATGGCAGTTTCTTACTCAACACCATTAAAAATCCATGATTATCTTTACATCAAAGACTCAACTCTATGGGGTCTTTAAATTTCCCCTAATATGCCCACAGTCCAACCTAATGTCCCATGGCGCTGCCTTTTTTCCATCCTCATGCCTCTGTGCTCCATGCTGACTTTCTGACTTCGGAACCTTTTCTTTAGTTCTTCCTCATGCCTGAATTTTCTTCCTTTCCATACCCAACCACCGAGGTCCTGCTCACACTTAAAGGGTTTGAATCCTGTCCAGCTTTTTGCCACTTAAACTTCTCTTTATCAACTCTTCTAGAATCTTTAATTTTTTAATGTTTATTTATTTTCTTCAGAGAGAGAGAGAGCAAGAAAGAGGTAGAGAGAAATAGAGAGGGAGAACAGGTTAACCCAAACAGAGTCCCCACACCACAATCCATTCCAGCCTTGGCTGCCCTGCTCACAGGCGTGCATGCCTGGTGTGTATACAGGGAGGTCTCCAGACACAAACCCGCACCTTACCCTGTGAGTCCAGGACCATCCAGCATTGTGTAACCTTTACTCCACCAGTTGTTTTGTTTATAGAATCTTATTGGTACTTCTATTACAACATTTGTCTCAGACTTCTTTCCTAAGTACATGATGGGTCTTCAGAAAATTCATGGAGGGATCAGCAGTTAGTGTAACGGCTATGTTCCTGGACTCCCATGTAGTCGACCACGGTTTGAGTCCCGGACCCGGTGGCTTAAACTCATGCCGGGTGCATGTGCATGCATGCCCAAGGTCCCAAGAGGAGAATGGAGGAGAAGGGATTGTGGCATGGCCAGCCATCCCCCCTGTGGGGTGATTTCTCACTTTCTCTCAGTCTCTCTCTTTCTCTGTCTTTCTGGCGAGCGCATGTGCCCTATAGCAAAAACCTCTCAAAAAAAAAAAAAAATCCTGGAGAATTACAAAAGAACTGTGTATAGATTTCAATTTCTTCTTCCATCAAAATTAACTCATACTTGACTTTCATTTTTCCATGACCTTTTTCAAGTCCCTTTGTATGCCTTTGTCCTTCAATAGACTATGAGACTTAGAGGACCAAAGCTTATTAGCTTTTATACTCTGTACTGGCTTTCATGAGAAGGCTGAGCACAGTCGTAATTAGATAGATGCTTTTTTAAATGGAAGAGGGAAAAAAAGAGAAAAATAATTGCGGCATGACACATCATGGCTACGCGTTTTTTCTTTCTTGGTCAGACTGATCTGATATGATGGCACAAAACATCCCTGAACTTAAATAAACAGGTGTAAAGGTCTGTGGTATTGTTTCATTCCTTGGTCAATTACTTTCAGAAAAAAAAGAAAGAAAAAAGTAAACCCACACAATGTATTAGGTCTGGGACTGGAGGGGAACTTCATTATTTTTAATGTCTCAGTAAAAGATCTTTTTTTCTCTCTACATTTACCAGACTAATCCCAAT